CTGGCTTCACAATTTGTGCTCTTCACCACAGCTTCTTCTTCTCCAAACTAAATTTCAACCCTCTGTGCCCCCTCCTCCAGTGAGTCACTACACCAATGCATTTGCCCTCATCCAGCTGTGCGGGGTGTTGTTTTCTATCATCAGCGGCCTCCTCATGGACAGACACAAGCACAGACCTCTGGCTCCAGGTAAGTTACATTTCTTCCATATTAGGAGGGCAGAATGTATATTCTTAAGAATTTAAAGATCATTGCTCATTGTAAGGGTTATTATTATCTTCTACAATATTATTATTATATCAGTGGTATGAAATGGTTTCAAAATGATGACAATAATATAATTTATCACAATCATTTCTGACTTAACAAAGCTTGTTTTTGTTCAAAATTATTCGATTGTTTGTAGTGTTGTGTTAAATAGGTATCAATGCTGGTAGCCATTTGTTTTCTAGATAAATAGCTAGCATGCACAGCTTCCTACAGTATTTATTATTTGACAGTTTGCCAATGCTCACTCAGTATAAAGTTAACGTACTACACTTAAAGTAGCCATACGCAGTTGAGTGAGGCTTTGTAAATTCTTAAACCTTACCACTATACATACAAGTACACTCAAAATGATTATACATTTTTTCTACTATTTTAGTAGAGAAGTAAGTCTATCAGAGGTGTGAGCAGCACGAACACTACAGTACTCAAAATTCTTACTTTGAACAATTTCACACATGGGCATATGTTCTTTTAGTCATCTCTCTAATCGAAAGAATAATAATAATCATAATAACAATTATGATTATGATTGTGATCATTATTATTATACCACAGCTTAGTTGAATTGGCTAATGTGACAAGTTCTTTAAAGCTTGGAAAAATGCTCAATGCAAAGTCTACTGTGTGAAAAGGTGCCCACCCCAAATTTCTAATTGCCCTCCTAATCTGACCAGTCTTGATCCTAGTCCTGTCCTATAATGACTTCACAGTTCTGTTAACCATCATCTTTCCTTTTGCTTCTTAGGAGAAACAAGTCGAGAGACAGATCTGCGTTCTTCCTCTCTCGCTATTTTCCTCAGCTGCCTGCTGTGTTTTTTCTTCTGTGTGTGTTTCACCTGTCCTGTCCTCCCTCTGCAGTATGTCACCTTTGTCCTGCAGGTCACCAGCAGCTCCTTCTTCTACGGAATCCATCAAGCCTTCATCAGCATTGCGTATGTGCTTATTCTTCCACAGAAAATTCAGTCAGTGACATATCTTATCAATCAATCCGATACTCTCATTATTCTTTAAACTGCTCTCTCCTGCTGTCTTCCCCTCTACCCCCTATGTCCTCTCAATCTCTTGTAGCTTCCCTGCATCTCACTTTGGGAAGATGTCCGGGATTGCAATGTCTTTATCAGCTCTGGTGCTGTTTATCCAGTTTCCTTTGCTAAACCTCATCCAAAATCAGCTGCATGGTGACCCGCTCTATGTAAGTGTTCATAGCTTGTGTGATTTTCTATGGAACCAGTTTAATAACAAGTCTCACTCCATCTCCCTACCTTCACTTTCTTTCCTTCTCTAAGGTCAATATCGGCGTCACCTTGGTGTCTCTGCTCGCCTTTATTCACCCAGTGCATGTTAGCCTCTACTGCAGAGAGCTGGCCAAGCAGAGGAAGAATTCACAACTTACCCAACAGTAAGTATCCCTTTTTCTGAACTATTGTTTGAGGACAACACTTTGTTATTTCAGGGGTGGCTGTGGCTAAGGGATAAAGTGGTCATCCTCCAACCAGAAGGTTGGCAGTTTGATCCCGAAGTGTCCTTGGCCAAGATGCTGAACCCTGAATAGCCCCTCAAAGATGTTGAATGCATTAATTGGAAGTTGCTTTAGATAAAAGCATCAGCTAAATTACAGGTAATGTTATTTGTTTTATTAAATGCAAGACTTGAATGTCAAGACTATCACAATCAATTCATCACAGCTGACAAAATGTCAGTCTCAGAGCCAAAAGCTATCAGATTAGCCTGGGGGGGTAACTGATAATATCTGGAGGTTTACACTGTTTACCCTCTGACTATTTTATTTTCATCACCAACAAACACCAGCAAACATTTGCATTTGCATTTGAATGGAGATAAATTAAAAAGCAGAAAGCTGATGCATTTCAGTCAAAGTGTTCCCTCCCCTTTTGCTCCCCACACGGACTGTGTACCTGCAGGCAACCAAAGCCTGCATCTTAAAACATGACTGGTCAAACTAGAAATGGAAACCAGAAGACGGCTGGCCCCTAAAACCGTTTACTTAAAAAGACAGCCCAGATCATCAGTCTTATCTCCGTCATCTAACATAACTGCTGATTCGATTTATTTTCAACAACGTTTCTCTGTTTCCTTTCCACATTAAGATCTCTCAGACCCTCTGACCAGCTGCTCTCGGCTGTCCCATCGTCGAGGTCGGAGGTTCAGGATGATGCTGGATGAGTTCACCATCTACAAACAAGTGTTTGCCTCACATAGATATATTCAAGGGTAAACTGAAAACCAACATGTTTTCTCAAGCTTTTGAGTCTCCTGAAGTTCTCAGCCTTTTATTGTATGTTATTTTACTCTTGTACTCGTACAGCACTGGTCAACTCAGTTTTTCAGATGTGTTTTATAATTAAACTTGATGGATGAGATATGTCATGTGTCCATACAAACAAGCAGTTTTCATACATTCAGACATTTTTACTGTCAAACCTAAAATGATGAGGCCAATGAAATACACATTAAATGAAATGTGTATTTGAAACCAATTAGTTCCCATTGAGATACAGTATCTCTTATACCAGGATGCACAGCAATAAAGTTAAATAGCCCCAAATATAAATAGAAGGCAAATAATAAGCACAAACACAGTAAAATACAGCAACCTATTAAAAAAAAAGAAGATATAGAAACATATAGGCATCTGTGGCTAACATTAATGTTAAAATGATTAAAACATGTAATACAATGTCTTTGGATCTTATGAGTGTTTTGTATTTATCGTTCTGTTTTACCTCCAGTTTCAGGGAGTGGATGTGTTGAAATAAACCTGCTTATAATCATATAGGTTCAGTTATAGATTCCCAAATCAAATTGATGATTAGAATTACCCATCTGCTGATGGTACCCTGTGAATCTTTGAGATGCAGCTCTGCACATATGAAAGACAAACTCCGGCTGGCTGCAGGGAGCAGAGTCCATGCACAAGGAAATATTTGGATCACCGTGAAATTGGAAAACTAACGTGATTTTACGGGTCTACAGCAGGTGTTGGTGCTATGCATCGTGCTTGATCACTGTGCAAGCAGCTATGATTTCAAATGTCCACCGTGCTATTTTACAACACATTTTAAGCGTCTAGTATGTGGCTGTGCCATGTGTCATTATGCATAGATTTAGTGAACTAATCTGGATTACAATCAGGACCGTCTGCCGAGTACTGCCACGCTGTCTGTTCTCATGTTGTGTGTGTAGACAGAACAGGGACATCTGACTGAAGTGTCTGCAAACAGAAGGCTTCTGTGTTGAAACAAACTGTTTCTCTTCTACTCGCTGCAAGACCGTCTGCTATGTTGTTTGTGGCTTGATTGTGATTGTGATGATCACTCCAACATGACAGTGCTGCTCTTCATCACGGATGAAAAGGTGAGATGGTCCAACTTAACAAGCAGAGGGTTGCAGCGTTGCATGCTGTTTATTTGAATGTCTCTACTGCAGTAGAAGTAAACTAAACATAGTGTTTACATTGTCAGCTCACAGTCACTGTTTAACATTGCTGCTGTATCTCATGTTCACACTGAACTTGGAAAAACTGGGTCGGTGCAGTCTTGTATTTCACTTGAAGTTAATCACCCCCACACATGCTTTTCTGAAATGTAAAATGCATCATGTATTGTCTGTGAATTTTCTCTCATATGTGTAAAGGGTATATATTTTATTTTTGGTACACGGAACTCTCTTAAAAGATATCTAGATTCGAATGGACTACCTGAGGAAATCCACTAACCAACCAAAAGGTATTAAATATGGTCTTTTATCTAGAGGTACCAAAATGTTTTTGGACCACTTTAAAAATGTAAGTATATCACTTGAGTACATTTATTAATTTACTTTCCCCCACTTTAGCCACGTAGCCTTACACTGTCAAACAAACGATCCGGACTTATGTTGCCTTTTATAATGTATCTGTTAAAACTTAATTAATAAAGGTGCATTTATATGCCGGTATAAAGTCTGTTTTCATTGTATCTCAGCAGATGTTCCATCATTCACTCACTGGGAATTCGCTCCAACATTTTCTATTGGGGTTCTATTTATCTTAGCTCATTTATTTCTAGGGAACCACCTTGGAGTCAGTGACTTATAGGATATAGTATCAGGTCAAAGAGTATGTCACTATACGCTGGGTCAGTTGGACACAGGACAAAGTCACAATGCTTATCACAAACTCATGACTGTCTCCCTCCCAGGTTATCTCTGTCTTGGTTTATCATCTTTAGAATATTAATTAGTGGTTCACCTTCACTCTATAAAACCCATAAAACTACATTTGCCACCAAACTAAGCCAATGCAATATTTACCCCTTTATTTATCATTGTTTTAAACACAGTGGCGGCACTTTATTTTCTCTGTGTTTGATCCAGTTACACTGTGTAACTGTATCATTATTCTGTGTGCTGTGTGTGTGTGTGTGTGTGTGTGTGTGTGTGTGTGTGTGTNTGTGTGTGTGTGTGTGTGTGTGTGTGTGTGAAACCATATGCCGTTTCATATTGCGGTTGTTAATATGTTGTAATATCTCCCTCCCACCTGCTCTGCTTTTGTTTTGTAGAAAGTTTAATCCAGCTGAGACCCGTTGTCCCCCGGAAGAGCTGATGTGAAACTCAATCTGCTCAGCCAGGCATTAAAGAAAGAGACAAATAGAAAAGAACAAGCAAAACCACTATTGTCTCAGAAGAAGAAACGTATACTGGACGATCAGCCGTGGAGAGAGGACGTGAAGCATGCAGGGGTACACGGTTGGCACCAGGTTGCGCTACCGGCTGACTCTGGCCACGGGGATGCTGGAGTGTCTGTGCTTTGCCGGTGTTGTGTTTGGTTATGCCTCCCTGGTGTTTGTGCTGAAGGAGGAGGGGTACTTCAGCCACCTGTGCGACACTGTCCCTGGCACCAACGGCACGCTGAACAGTACAGGTGAGCATCTCTGGTATTTTATTGTCAGAGGTGATCATGCTGGGATGCTTATTCTAGCAGACATCCATTTTTTCTTCAAATTAAGTTATTGAGTGTATTTCTTATGTTGTAAATTTTCTTTTAAATGAACAGAAATCATCACTTGAATATAAAATGAGAAAGAATATCAAGTATTTACAAAATCAAGGCACTCATATCTTTGGAGCTCAAAGTGCAAATACCCCCAATGAAAGCTGTGTCAATGCTTTTCCACCACTTGGGGCAGAAATACACAAAAGCACACATGCACCTTTGCCAAAATATATCCTCTGCTAATGATGTCACGAGTGTTTGGAAAATCGATCTAGGATCACAGATTAATCACCTCCCACTACTGTATATTTAGCTTTATCTGCAAAGACATGTGTGGTACATCCTGATTACCTCTGTGCCGCTGAGAGAGACTGACCATGAGACATAAAGCAGGGCTGTTTGTTATGACTGCTTGTTGATACTGTACTTGCTTTTTAATATTTAACTAAACTTCTTGCATCTTATCAAAATTGCACCTAACATATGAACTACTCTCCTGCACACGTCAAGTCATTGCTTCCTTTCTTCTGTTTTGTCTTAATAATGTATTTATCATCTATGTTTGGTTTTGTCTCACAGACTGTAGCAGACAAGATGAGCGGTTCTCTCTGGTTTTCACCATCGCCTCATTCCTCAACAACTTTAATATCGTCAATGGCTACCTGTTTGATCGATTTGGCACCATGGTGACCAGGCTGCTGGGAATGTGAGCTCCTGACATTTTCTAAATCATAAACCGCAACAGTTCAGGCTGCAAATGTGTAGCTACCTGTGTATTATTATTAACATACTGGTTTAACAAGTTACCTGACAAACATATGCTAGCTTTTAAAATCCTATATTCCTCATGAGTTGTTTAAGAGACTGTATTCACACCTCCGAGAGCATCCCGAGATAAATGGTTTTGAAGTTTATATTTAGCAGTGAAGGCAAGAAGCAAATCTATATGGGAAACGCTCTGGCCTGTTTGAATTTCTATAAACCAATTACAAGTGTGGATTATGATGCAGGGATTGTGCCCCAGCACTCACCAACAAAAACGGTGGAAGAATTGGTGACTGTGACTTTGCACCGTTGACAAATCTTAAAAACTTCTAGCCATTTTTACTGTGTAGTTTGCCAGCTCGGAGGTGGTTTCCTGTAGCAGAGTTGTTATTGACAGAAAGCTGAGATAAGGAGAATACTACATTCAGACATGTGACCCACAGTTGGCTGTCAGACCATAAAGAGGCTAATTCTCTGAACTGGGTTCCTCCTCAAACCATTCGACCCACTGAGGCACATTTGCACACAAAGGTGAAGTGAGACATGCTGACCACTGGTGCTTTTGTGTTCTACATTGACAGTGAGGTTACTTATTCGTTGCTCACGTGTTTGGATCATGTGACGGAGTATACCACCCCCACCCAATATGGACATGCCTGCTCTAAATAAAGTTTTGTCTCTCTCCAGATGTTTATACACCACTGGAACCCTTCTTGTTGCCTTCTCGAGTGCAGGTAATTGCACACAAGAGCACACATGAGTTAACACGACCACGGGTGATGGGTAACATCATAAAATGGGTCAGCAAACTTGGAGAGATATATAGAGGGCAGGGGTCCTCCCCCAGAGAAAAAAATTAATTTAAACCAAATGTTGTGCATTTTGTACACAACTCAAACTCACCTAATACAGTGTAAAGCTAAACTAAATGGGTGAACATTAGAAGAATGGCTGCTTCATTATATTCATAAAAACATTACTTATCCTATATGGCAGTTTAGTTTGCAGACTACCAGGTCATGTTATGATTAAATAAGAAAAGAAAAGGGAAATGGCCTCACAACACGTTACAATACAATAAGACTAAGGTCAAATCTGAGTGTCACTATTCACTGTGGTTGTGGTCGTAGTGGCAGCTGTTCTCATAGCACCACTAGTTGGTGGAGATCAGAACTTCAGAAGCAGAACAATAAAGCTACACATTTTCACCCAACCTCTCAAACCACTTCTGAAAGTGAGCCTGCCGCTCTCATTCATCCTCTATGAGAAAATGACATCATAAACAATGAGGAAAGCACAGTGCTTATTACACAGAGTGATCCTCAGATTCACAAATAAATATATCCAAAGGCTGAATAAAATAAGTATGGTAAAAGAACAACTTTAAAAAATTCACAAAACGCTTTATGGAGATTTTTTGGCGCAAAATGTGGTGAAATGTTGCTGTTAGCGTTGTTGCAATAATAAGACTTTATGCTTTAACTTATCTGATGGATGATGAAGTTCAATGAGTTTAACTTCCGTTGTCCCGCAGCATTTTCAGAGCTGCTCTTTCCAGCCTTGCCCTGCATTGCTATGGGAGGAATTCTGCTCCTTCTAACTAACATGCAGGTGAATACTCCATAGTGTTCCTGCATAGTGGGTGTGTCTTAGCATAGAACACATTAATTAGACACCACACACTAATGAACACTTCAACAAGCTGATAGCTTTGTATTGGTGTGTGTCTGAAAGGTGGGTAACTTGTTCCCAGTTCACCGCTCGACCATCATCACGCTCTACAACGGTGCCTTCGACTCCTCCTCTGCTGTGTTTCTCATCATCAAGGTAAAACAATGTGTTACCTCCCCCAATAAGATGATTTCACCCCTGTCCATTTGTTTGTGGGTTAGTCGGTTAGTATGTTTATTAACAGAACAGATTTTCACAAAACTCGGTGGAAAGCTGCATTTTACAGAACAGCAGCAGAAATGTGTGGATTTAGGTCCTTTGCATCAAACCCAGTTTAATTTGTGGTTTGAAATGCACCTGAATGACACCATCTGAGGCCAAGGTGCTCTGTACCTCTTTGACATACATGTGTGTATTTATTTTCATGTGTTTTCAGGTTCTGTATGAACAGGGAATCTGTATTCGCTCCTCCTTCCTTGTTATGTCCATCTGCAGCATCATCCACCTGCTGAGGACCTTCCTGCTGATGCCCAGAACCCACATACCGCACCCTCTGCCACAGTACTACACCTATGGGTGAGAACATCCCATAAGCTTTGGGACGACAGTCCTTCATCTTCATTGATGAGACATGACAAATAAAGCTATTCCCCTTTTTTCCTGATGCTGAGACTGAACTGTGGAAAGGCCAACACTTACAATGTGGAGCAGTTTGAGAAGATGAGGGCCAACACACCACCCGCAGTTGAGGATGGGACAGACGCCCAAGACTCTGCAAAAGGTACCCAACCTGGTTGTTGCTTTCTTCTCTTCAACGGCCACAATGTCAAGTGTGGAGAATATGGTCGGATACTTGAGGAGCAGTGTTAAAAACTAAGAAAAGCTTTTTTACATGTTCCAGTGCAGAAAACAACCAGAAGTAACACTGACAATACTCTGAGCCAATGAGCCAAACGTCCTCAGCACCTTACGAGACAAAAACACCATATGAGACAAAAACTAAAACTTCCTTGGGCACTGAACCCCTTAAATATAATGAGATATTCCATGAAGTCAGTTTTCATCTAGCACAGACTTGATGTCTCATGTGTTTAGTGACAAGCTTCCGGAGCTGCGTGTTGTCTTGGTTCTTCCTGTGGCACCTGCTGTGGCTGTCCATCATGCAGCTGAGACACTACCTCTTCATCGGCACACTCAACCCCATGCTCAACCGCCTGGCCAACAACGACCCCGACCTGGGTAACTGACATCACTGACACACTGTAGCTATTTGAACATTTCTCCTTCTTCTATCTCTTTTCATTCTCTCCTCTACTTGTCACCATCCAACACCAATCCAAGTGTCTCCATTTCAATGCTTCTCTCTGTGGTTGTTTCCCTCTCATCACATCTCCCTCAGTAAGTCAGTACACCAACGCTTTCGCCATGACCCAGGTGTGTGGAGTGCTGTGTGCTCCCTGGAACGGACTCATCATGGACAGACACAAGGGAAAGCCTCTAGCTCCTGGTAAATCAGTGACAAGTGTTCTAACTGTGTGTGTGTGTGTGTGTGTGCAAATGCAGCAAATGCACTTACTTCTTCTTCATTTTCCCTCCTGCAGGAGAAAGCGAGCAGGAGGTGGACCTGCGCTCCTCCTCTCTGTCTCTGTTCCTGACCTCCCTGCAGTGCCTGCTCTTCTCTGTGTGCGCCACCATTCCTCTCCTCCATCTGCAGTATCTCACCTTTGTTCTACAAGTCCTCAGTCGCTCCTTCCTCTACGGGGGGAACGCAGCCTTCATTAGCATCGCGTGAGCAGCCATCACATACACAACAAATAAAAAAAACAACTTACAACCACAGCAGAAAACACAAACCTGGTTGAGGCCACATAGAATATTACCAGTCCAGCAAAGTAACAATCACAATGCAGGGACCATTCGTATATGAACAGATCTGCTCTTGATTTGTGTACGAGTGATTTCTGAGAACTTGCTGCATTCACCAATTTTCTAGTATTTTGAACTTTCTTAGAGGTATGAACAGAATATATGAGTAATCCAGACCTGTCATAGGAGTATTCAGATCAAGTTTTTCACTCATGTATCCTATATTCAATTAGTTTGGGACAATTCTAAACAAATATATACATTATACCTCATCATTTGGTTTAACTCTGCTGTTCAAATTATAAAGTAATCCTAATTCATTAATTTACCTGCTAGGTGTCGTGATGGTCAGGGACACCACTTCTTTGTGTGGCAAACTTGTCCAGACAGCATGAGTCTTGGAGAAAGTGTGCAGAGAGATGGCTGGTTTGACTCGTCGGTTGTTAATAGCTGCGATGTAAGCTGTTTTCAGATCATGACCCAGTTGACTGATGTTTTGACTCCCTCCCTCTGTCAGTTTTCCAGCGTGTCACTTTGGGAAGCTGTACGGCCTGGTGATGTCCATGTCTGCTGTCGTCTCTCTGCTGCAGTACCCCTGCTTCGCCCTCGTCACAGGAACTCTGGATGGAGACTCCTTTTATGTAAGAGTGTAGTGGTCAGTGAAGTTATTTCAAAATGTCCAGAAGGATGACAAATTCGAGGAAAAAAGAGGTGTCATCGTGAGGTGATGGGGCCCTTTGTCCCAAAACAACAGTTTCAGTGAAGCTTGGTGTTGAATCTCAACTTACCTGGACTCTACTAGAGAGCAGCATTCTTCCAGAAGGTATTCCCTCATTTGATGTTTTGATGATGGTGGTGGAGAGCTCTCTCTAAGGGTCAGTATGTACTCTTTGTTAACTACACGTACGCAAGATGCAGTACCCACATGAAGGATGGGGCAGTATCTGGTCCTTGACAGGGTCAGCAGGCTCATCATCAGGGACATGTCACGTCAACAAAACTGGCAAAACTACATGGGTAGAAGAAAAGAAGTGAACTTGCTTCAGATTTTAAGGATCTGACAAACAAACACGGATGTGCTTTTTCTGTCTATATCTAACGTTAGCAAAATGTTGATGTCCTCAAGTGTCGCCATCTTGGTTCATGTTTACCGGAATCCTTCAGTAACACACGTAGTACTTATGCAAGCACAGTTGGAACAAGTTTAAAGTGGGTCTTACCCTGCAGTCCAAATTCTCCAATAGGTGTCGACTTTTTAGTCCGATGCATGTCCTATTTGCAAACAAGGCGGAGTTTATGACCTATATTGCAGCCATAGAGATGCTTTGACTTCACATTTGGGGAGTTGTCTATTGTTCATCTTTACATACAGTCTGAGCTTTAGGCCTACAAGCGTAAGGTAAGTGTAACTGACATCAGAATAAGTAAACTAATTATTTGCGTGTGTGTGTGTTCCAGGTGGACATCGCTCTGACTTTCCTCACAGTGCTGGTGTTTATTCATCCCCTCTACGTCTTCATCCACTGCAGGAAACTCACTCACCACAGGGCGTTGAATGCGCAGACTGAAGCCGCTAATGGCTCCAAAGTGTTTGAAACCATGTTGTAAAGGGGTAATTATGTAGATGTTTTAATCTCTGTCAAGATATTTTACACTTCTCTGTCTTGTTTTGTTCATTTTTTTTTTACTAGAAAATAGATCACTATACTTTTTATAATTAGTTTTGTCCTACTGCATTGATATTTTGAACATTTATTGAAAACAGATACATATGTTTTTTTTATATTTGTACAATCAAAAAATTATTAAATGTAAAATGTTTAACCAACATTGTATTTGAGTGCTTAACTGACGTTTCTACACTTCACTATGCAGTATACTGTTTATATTTATATATGTAACTACAGTATACAATATACTGTATAAATAATGGACTGTGTTCCATGTTTATACACAGAATATAGGGTGACCAGGTGTCCCTCTTTTTGCGTAGCATTTTTATCCCTTCTCCCATGTCCCACAAACTGAGATGATGTCCCGCATTTCGATTGGCTTCTCACAGACTTGTCTAAAATCTGGCTTTTACTCAGCCGCTGTGAAGAAAGCAGGGAAAGCTGTCATCAAGGGGGTCTTTCTTTGCACGCACAAAGTCAGAATTTATGCTGATTTCGAGTATAATGGCGAGCACAGCCAAGAAAAGGAAACACAGCTACAATAAAGACTGGGAAGCAATGTACAACTGGGTGAAGCTGGTGGAGGGTGATTCTCACAGACTTTTTCAGCTTTACTGACAGAGTTCTTTTTCAGTTTCCCACAGGGGAGAATACGATGTGAAGCAGCACAGCACGATTTTTTACCGCCACACATCTTTAGTAATGCGTCCCGCCTCGTTCCACACAAACATATTCTTTACCCTACATTTGTTTTGTTGAGATCTGGTCACCAAACTGCATATCATTCATGATTAAATGAACTCAAATGAGCTAGAATAGTTTTTACTTACAAAAGTATGCAATGTTTACATTACAGCAAGACAAATACATGTTAAATATGGAAGATTCTAAAAACACTATGGTGTAAAACAATAAAAGTAGGCTGTATATAATGTAGAACTGAAAAGCGCAATACACTTCTTAATATAACCTTGTGAAGTACAGCAGATCTACAGTAACAAGCAGTAAACAAGTTCCTCAACAATTTTACATGAGGCAGCAAATTTGACTCAGTATAAGTCATTTTTTTATGATCAAACTGTTTTCCTGGGATCTTAAGGACCAGTGTAAAGGCCCTGTTCAGACCTGGTATTAACATCCATCCTGAACGATGCGATCTAAAGTGGTCACAGGAGACACATTCGAATGTCAGGTGTGAACAGAAGAGCCTGTCAACATGTGGCCGCTGTGTGAGTGAGATGTGTCCTGGGCCACGTTGGAAGGACCACCTACTCAGCTGGTGCCTTTTAAACGCATTTTTAAGCTTCTCTGTGCTCTTAAGTCGATGTGTGTGTGGCCACCTGTGTCATCTCCAAATGAGGTCTGAGTGATCAGGACACATCTAGGTGCTTTCACACATGAACGAGTGCTGATCACTTGCGATCTGACCACTCAGGACAGATGTTAGGAGAGTGTAGGAGAACCTGCTGTGGCCTTCAGGCACCGTCAAGACTCTCTCTATAACCATAGTTTGGTCAACAGTATGGTGGGCTACTGCACCAGATATGGATATGAAGGGCTCATTCTGAGGTGAAGACAACTTGATTCTTAGTTTCAGGTGATTCTACACTAATAAAAACATCACTATCAATGTTAATATTGTTTTTCATTTCTGCTGACACACCCTCCTAATTCCTTCACAGGGGTCGTTTCATTTACTGAAACAATTGTTGAATTCCTTCTATATAGAATATTATAATATTCTGTCTTTGGAGAACACAAAACAAATGCAACAGTTTAGTCACAAGGTGGAACTTTCACACGATACAACCACAGAGTTTGACAGTCTACACATGTATTGTCATTTATACATCATATGTTTTTTTGGAATTTGGCATTAAGGATTAAAAAAAATAGGAATACCTTTCAATCTACTGTATTCAAACAAAGTAAGGCACTAGATACTACAGAGTTCTTAATACACAGAAGAAACTTAACTGTAAGTCAGTCGTACAGTTCCAAACTATACTCGCGAAATAAAGTGATGTTCGAATACAGATTTTTCTGCATCCAGCTGAAAGGGGAGGAGGGGTCTAAAAGTTCAGTTTCTCTCTCATCTATTTTCAAAGACCTCCAGAATTTTTCCTTTCTCTTTTTTTCCCCAGTTCATCATGAACACACCAAAAACTGAGGCACTCTCTTACCTCGCTGTTTTGCAAAATTAGCGCGTTCACACAGGTGTTTCTTTTGAATCATTGCTGATCAGAGCCTTTTGGGCCTTTGCATGACTGTGATAAACATTTGGACTGAAAGAAATGAAAGGCTGGCACAAGTCTTCAGCTGGGGAGACACACCTCTGAAGCAGAGTCAATAGCCAGAAGTTAGCGAGCGAGTCACAGAAAAGTCAACTTCCAGCAGTTGTGAGTCAGTGCACGTTCATCTGTTTAGTGGCCGTAGCTTTGAGGAGACCACTGAACGGAGGGTGTGGGATGTATTGGTGTTATTTCTTTAAAGTATAGCCTGCTCATGCTAGCTTTTCCAGGATTATCAACCCTAGCTTTCATTGGGGGCTTTGGTTTATAGTAATAATCCAGTTTAAATCTGGATAAATTAAGAGTGTGTGTGTGTGTGTGTGTGTGTGTGTGTGTGTGTGTGTGTGTGTGTGTGTGTGTGTGTTTGCGTGCGTTCATAGGACCTTTTCACTTCCACTGTTCTTGTCATCGTTCCTAACTGCTGTTTGATCAGCGTCACACGTGGACATGTGGTTGTGGTGCAGGAAGAGGATGGCGTCCAAACTTTCCGGTGGAATGTTGGCTCTCTTCCTGTACATGGTTCCCACTCCTTCCCGCAAAAAGTCCAGTGCGGCATTGCCTGCCACGGCGGGAGCGGCCAGGTAGGCCCGTGCAACTGTTGCCAATAGTGGAAACTGTACAGCCTTCGTCCTCCACCACTGCAGAGGCTCCACTCCCAGCGAGGCCCCCTTACTTGCCCTGAAGACAGACATCTCCATGTCTACAGACTCCTCCACAGAGCTCTTCTTGCTCCGGGGGGTCGAGCAGAACAGGTCTCCCAGCAGGAACTCCATACCAGAGAGTGCACTCTGTGAGCCCGGGTCCTCGTTCTCATCTGCCTCTCCAATGTCGCTGTCGTCGTCCTCATCGTCGACCTCTCTGAAGTTGATTGGGCGGGAGTCTTTGAGGCGTTTGCTCCTCCGCAGGAAGTCGCTATCTGACGCTGGCGACCCAGGGGAGGAGCTTCTCTTGCTCTGGCTCTTACAATGGCTCCTCCTCATTTCCTCCTTCGCGATCCTGACGGCCTCTTTCTTCAACCAATCAAATGTAGCCGTCTGCTCCTAGAAAATATTCACAACAGAAGTTTAGTGTTATCCTTAAACAAATCAAGTGGCTGGTCTTTTGTATGTTGTGCAGCCCCATTTACATTCACACAGTGAAAATAATGGGTCCACATGCGTCCCAGACCACCTTTGAATGCGGTTTGAGTGATCAGATCTCAGGACGTATTTAGTGCTGTCCACTTGTGATCTGATCTGGGCAAACGTACTGATAGTTTCTCCAGGAGCACTAACACCACAACAGCAGTCAATAAGGCACAGCAGCGACTCTCCTTCCACTGCTGGTGACTTTCTACCACTTTTCCATTGTGCTGATGTGTTGCATCTCCACGTGATCATTAACTTGGCCCCGAAAATCTATCCATTTATTCATCTATCCCTAAAACGTCCAGGGATCAGGAAGGTTGTTGTAGTTAATCCTGATGGGAACCAAATGAACTACATTTAATGGCAAATATATAAATAGTTGTCAAGTCATTTCATTAAAAACTGATGCTACACGTTAAGTCAGTTTACTTCATTCTGAGGACATCCACTGTCAGCACAAAATTTCATGGTGAACAAATCAAGCTTTGCTAGTGTGGTTGAAAAAATTCCAGCGATACCAGGCCCCAGCTATTCACTAACCAGTCCCCTTCATTTAAACTGACTCACCTTTTCCTCCATGAAGCCCAGCCCGTGGAACTGTGGGTCAAGGGAACATGCCACGCACAGAACCCTGTTGACCACAGGGTTGTCGTAGCAGCTCGACAAGTTTCGCCTCATCATCCTCTTCACTTCCTTTAAGATGGATAACGAATCTCCTGGCCGGGAGACGAGGTGGCGGGAGAGCAGGCCGATGAGAATGGGTTTGATGAGGGACAGACGAGGGAAGGCCTCTTTGGCCAGGGTCCGACAGGCCACGTCCAGAGGTCTGAGCACCAAACACAGATCCTCCAGGACCTTCCAATCAGAACGCATTGTGAGGTTTGCTGAGGACGTGTTGGAGGTGGAGTTTGCGTGGCAGATGCCAGATGAACTGGTTTCTGAAGCAGCGTCTCCTTTAGACAACTCCTGCATTTTCGTCTCTTTTATTACATCACAGACAAGGATTTTATGTTTGATGAGCATGCTCAGTAGAGGGTAGAGCTTATTCCACGCTGGCCGACAATGAGCCCACGACTTCAGCTCGGCCTGTTCCTGTCTCGTCAGCATCTGCAGCAGACTCTGGACATGAAGCTGAAATGAGCCTCTGGTTTGAGCAAGCGGCAGGAACAGTGTTGATACAATACCCTGAAACTGGCAGAGGGTCTTGGAGATGACATGATGTGACATCACTTCCTCGATGCATTCCTGCACAACGCTGAAGAAACACGGGATAGATGGAAGCCCCTCACTGGATTGGCTGCACTCAGAGCCATGTGATTCCTCGGGTGACACGGATTCATCCCTTTCAAGAAATGTTGTTGAGTTTGGGTGAGGGACGCTTACGACCACCTCTCCACCCTTCTTCCCTTTTATTGTGCCCAGCCTCATTATAAGCCTTCCTTCCCCTCCCAGCAGCACCAGATTAGGCTGAGAGATCCCCCACTCCTGTGCCATCACTTTGACTTGTGCCTCCACTGCTCGCAGGGTGTAGTCGTTCACCCCACTCTCCATCAGTCTTTGGGTTGCCAGGGCCAGGTTCTTAGACATAAATCTGGCGTCTATGCAGTGTGCCCAGATGGTGAGGTACCTCTCGGGGTTGCCCTGCCAGTTGTGAGACCAAATGTCCACACTTACAGTGACAGAGTGATAAACTTCCCTATGATGGCCGGGAGGTCGGCCGCGCCTCCTGGGCTCACACTCGATGGGAGCGGTGTAGTCAGATATGTCCTCGTTGTCTCCACCTACTGTTTTCCTCATCAGCAGCTGAGACAGCCTCGCCTTGCCCTTGGTGTGGTGTTCTCTCAGGAGGTACTCAAGCTGACACGGTGACGGCAGATCCTTGCAGGAGGGCAGGAGGGTGAGGATCAGCTGTTTGAAGCCCTCCCCTTCCACCAGAGCCGGGGACTGGAGATCCATGATGAGGAAGTTGATTATGGCATGGGTCACTTGAGTAGACAAAACCAGGGGGAATGTGTTGACCAGGCTGTTGTTGCCCATCAGTGACTGAGGGTGTTGTGGTCCTGTTGAAAAAAGAAAGAAAAGAAAATCTTTAATCCCCAAATAATCTTCCACAGTTTGACAGCACATTTCAACAAAGCCTGTTCAGATGGTACAAATAAGATTCTAACTTAAAAGTCTTTTTTCCTATTATTTATGTCTATTTAGTTTTTTATAAATTTATTTTAGAGATTTGACTTTGCGTATCAGCCGATAACGAAAACCAATCTGATGCTTTAGAGTTTGCTGTTTGAGTTCATCCTTCTTTCCCAGGCTTTATGAGATTGCTACGAGTGCCGCCTCTCAAAAGAGACCTATTAATTACTAGAAATCACTTCTTCTTCACTTCTAAAAAAAACGTATTGGCCCGTTGCTGCGATTTATCAATGTGTCCACCATATTGGTTTGGGCAAGACTAAAATGTCAAATAATACAAGTAAATGGGGGAGTTACAGCTTCTCTGGATAAAAAGCACAGTGAATTTAACATTTCAAAAAGTAATTTGTGTTTGTGATCTGTATACTTCAGCTATAATCGCTGCTGAGCGTTCATGACCAACAGTATAATCATGGTTGCTGTTACAGTTTCCTGAGGGAGCATTACTAACATTTGACTTGTGCTCAGTTTTACTTTATCCTCCAAATTAGATCGTTTGGCTCAACTCTTAGTTTGAAAATAAGTGCTAATCTTTTTGCTCTGCTGGATTTTGTTGTGACAATGGTTCTCAGAACCCAGCATGTATTCGGGTTTTCCAAAATGATCGAGAAATCTTAAAAAATGAGGTTCAAGTCGTGACAAACCAGAATTTGCAGATAACCTTGCTACGTTGTCACTGCACCTCCTCTACAGTGTTAGCACTATTTGTTACCCGTTATCAGAAGACCCCGCTCCTTGTTGCCGTCACGTGTTCTGATGTGGTGCTTGCTGGTCAGGTGGTTTTGGAGGTCCGCTGCTCCTCCTGCGCAGCTCACACGCTCCCCACACAGTTTACACACCACGCTGCTCCGGTCCAGAGGCCGACCAGTTGGGTCCGGCTCGAACCCAAAAAAGTACCATGGGCTGTGTTGCGTGACGTTTGGGCTACTCAGCAGTTTCTCCGTTCCAGGCATAAAATCGTACTTTTCCATCAGCTGGGAGCTGGGGAGCGGGAAAGACATGATGGAGGTAGAGGGGAAGGTGGAGCCAGACAAGCCCCCCGGATCAATAGCCGAGTCTGGATTTGACACTGTCGTCACGTCACTGATGACAGGCATGGGGCTCTGTGATTGGCTGTGATCTGACCAAAGGGAAGTGCTGCTGGGCTCCGGGAGGGTGACCAACTGGATGTCTTGCAGGAGGCGCAGAGCCGTTTCCTTTTCTCCGATTTCACATTTTACATTGTCGCCTGTATTGACCCGCGAAAAAACAGAGGAACAGGATATTGACAAGATATTCAGCAAGTTACACATCACAACCGACATCAGCTGAAACATTTAGGTTACAAAACAATTTGGTTCAGCAAGTCTGTAACTATGACATGACAGGAAGCCAGTGGGACAGAACTCACCCATCCCGAGGCCCAGCAGGGTGGCATAATCCTTCCCAATCCAGACTCTGAGCTGTGCTCCCTCTGTGACGGGCTGGGACACCTTGTAGTAGATGTGACGGTAAAACTGGAAGACAAATAGATTGTGCTCCTCCTCATTGCTCGTATATGTTACATACCTACAACACAGAGAAAATACAAACAGTGTCTGTGTGAGAGCATGACTCTGACAAATAAAGCTAAACATTAAATTAGGGCTGAAACGAGTAACTCAAGTTACTCGAATAACTACAGCTCAGTGCTGTACAGATTGGCACATCTGTGTTGACTGGTTTAACATCCACAATGTCCTTTGACACTAAACCCTTAGCCTTGTTGTCAGGTGATAATACTCTGCTGCTCTGCTGCTTCATGGAGCAGACGCTTCTTGAGTTTCATGCAGCTTCAAAATCAATGTTGCTGATACACAAAAATTAGCTAAATAGGTTTATAAGTTGTCTACCAAAAATTCAACAGATGGTGAGGCCAGTGGGCAAGTTATGTCATCAGTATGCACCTGATTATCATGTTATCATGCCGCAGCCCCAACAACCACACACACACACACACACACACACACACACATATATATATATTTTTTTATGTACTTTGTAAATTTTATCTTTTTTATCAGATTACTCAATAATCTATAGAAGGACTGCAGGACTATTAACATTAGTGAAATAAATACAAACTACCCACCTCATCCAATTGGATTTATTTTCATCAGAAGCGTCAATGTAGATGAAGGAAGCATCATCTCTAATCTGGAGATAGAAGCCAGCTTTACTTGAACAATTTTACACTGAATTTTTCAACACAAACTACAAAGAACCTGATGGTTGTAGATCTGACTGAAGCACAAAACAGGACTATTATTTGTAATAACTTGATTTTAAACTGCCTCATGATTCGACTCGTATACTTACAGCCCAGGCGTATTTGAGGCTGTTCGGCATTTGACCCCTGCACATTTCTCCTACGTAGGGCCCAAACATGACGCCTTGCTGGAGGTGACACTTGGCGTACACTTTCACCTCTCCCATCGGCTCCTCGCCAGAAGATCCAGGACCAGACATGAGAGACCCATCCTCCCCACACAGGCACAGGCAGGAAGGCAGGGACAGCACTGCTCGAGAGGGGCCACCGTGGAGCCAGGGCTCCCCGGGCGGCAGCACCGCATCCGGGACGTAGTTCTGATTTGAAGCGTTCTGCAGAAATGGAACATCCTCAAAGTATTCTTCATGGTTGAGATCGAAACCTAGAACATAACAGAATAATAAATCCAATACTGAAGTGAGGTGGGATATGGTATGACGATCCTCTTTACGGAGCATGTTCTAGCTTGGTGTTTTGTTTTAAAACTAGAATTACTGCCCTGTGGTCGTGCACCTCCGTCAAACAGAACAGTTGCAGTCTCATTAAAAAAAATCCAGAATCACATGAGGTCAGTGTGACACTTGGCCAAACCTAATCAGCCTGACAACTGATCAAAATGTTCAGATACTTCCAAAAGGCAGACTTGTTATATCATGTTCAAGAGCAAAAATATGTTCTGTGAGGTCACTGTTACTTTGACCTTGTAACAATTAATTCCAGCTCTCAGTGCCATAAAACTGGCAACCCCACTCAACTCTTCTTTGCCGTTTCACACTGATCACAGTTTCCTCTGCAAAATGAACATAGTGGAAACCCTGGATCAACAGAAGTGTGTCAGTGGCCTGTTCAGCTCGATCGTCTCTGCTGTGGCCAGGTTCACCTGCAGCCACTGAGACTCTGCCAGTGAAGCAGTTCACAGCCCATGTCGTCCACTCCTTCATAATCTGACTTATTTCAGTCCTGCTGTCTTCAAGCTCCAGCTCCAGATCTCTGGTGGGATGCTTCATAACTCAACCTGTATTTTGTGGCTGAGGTTTGCTCTGATTGAGTAACCACATGCAAACAGATCGGAGTCTGGATGTGTGTGCTCCTGCATTGTCAGGGAATTTATTAATTCATTAATATTCCCTATGACTTATATTATGCCTGACCATAATTGTGTTCCACAGATGGTTGACCTGAGAGGTCTGACGGCCTCTGCAGGAATGCCCTCGATTAGAGCGTTTATGTTTTGTATCGGGACTTGCCATCCTGTCTCTGGTGTTGTGATAAGGTGAACCTTGAGAGTCTGCACTCTTGTAACGACGATGGCATCCTGACATAGGAAGAGCCTGCAAAGAAAGTCCAGAGGCTCTCCAGAGTTCAGTGCATGTCTGAAAGAAGCTTTATAGTGACCTGCATTTCTATTCCTCCCTTTTGTGTATAACAATGAAATGGTTCTATTGTACTTCAAGCTTTTTGGTCCTGATGTACATCAGACCATGTTGTAATAAACTTATACATTTAAATAAGGAAAACTGGGCCACATTGAGTTCACTCTTTTCTCCATTATTATTATTACTGTTTAGAAACTCAGCCATCTTTCACTCATCCTTCCTGTTTGTTACCTGGTCAGCCTCAGTAACACAGGCCTGAGGGGGGATGTAAACCCAGTCGGTGTTTAGAGTATGGAGGTGGTCTGCACGCATTTGAATACGCAGCCTACATTCTTTATCTGATACAATGCATTCATTGATGTGACACATTAATAACATCGTTCAGTGCTGCGACATCACATGTTCTGCTGAGTAAAACAACTACACGTGGTGTGTGTGTTAGTGTGTGCTCATACAGGAAGACCACCAGACCCAGGGGCTGTGTTTCTCCACCTTCAGCCGCTCCCTATACAACTTTATGAATCACGCTGCACATGCATTTTGTCACTTCAGATGAGATGCATGTGGGAATTACAATGGCCGTCAGTGCTGTGAGGCTAAAATGTGATGCACACTTCCACCTCCGTGAGTGCAGCCACGCCACATCACTGACTTTGTGTGAACTCACCTGGAGACTCAACCAAAGCTCCAGGGGTCGTGGGGGTAGAGCTCTCGAAGAAATCTGCTCGGTGTCTTCTCTTCAGGTGACTTCTGAGGTTGGTGGTGTTTCCACCTTTCGCCAGCACTATTTTTCTGCACAGGCGACACACGGCCTCTCCGGAGTTCAGCGGCTGCCCCTTCTCGTCCGCCTTCAAACCGAAGTACAGCCACACGATGGATTTGCTCCTGGGTTTACTGATGAGATCCATGTCTCCGTGTGTCTCCGCTCCTCCGCGTCGGAGGCAGTCAGCGCTCCACTGACAGCAGGCAGAGAAAAACACGTCAGGACAACAGCCGCTGGGTTTCGAATGCGCGTCTACTGGTAGTGTTACGGTACCGATGCTGGGAGTGGTCAAAAAGGACGAAAGGCCTAATTCAGCAATTCTTTCTTTTTCAAAGCTGATGAAGAGGAAAATAACAATTAATGCACATTATGTGAAGTTCCATCAAATCAAATAAAAGTTAGTCC